GAGTGGAGCAAGGTAATAGAGGGGAGAGATTTACCCAAGACCAAGTACCAGGAGAACATCAGAGGAGAAAAGAAAAAAGAAGAAAAGTTTTAGATTAATGCCACAGTGGCAAAGGGCTTCTTTCATTGGCCAACTAGAGACCCAGCAGAACCCCCAAGGCAGAGCTGTCTAGACAGTCTGATCTCAAAGATCTGGTGGCCACCAGGTTCAGAAAAGGGACAAGACCGAGGCTATGGCATTCACCAAGACCCTCTTTAGGCCCTGGGAATCCATGCACAGTAGCCATACTTCCTGAGTCACTGGGATGAAACTCCACACAATGGGTAGGCTTCTCCATTGAAATTCCCTTTTCTACTTTGGTGGGGTTGGGTTTTTTTTTTTCAATTCCTTTAACCACTGTATGACTTAAGGAGTCCTGGAGGCTAACTTCAGGTGCTCCAACTCTGCTGTCAGCTTTGTCTTCCTGGTGCCTGGCTTCCTGGCTAAGCTCAGGAATGGGGACACAGGTTGGCTAGTTGGTTGGTGTGGAAAGGGGAGGGAAAAGGCCATGTTTATCCCTGGCCATTTCATTTCCTCTCAAAGATTCTGGTAACAAAAAGCCTCCTCCCACTTGCTTGGAGTGACTTGGGTTTTAGTTTCAATGTTATGTGAATAAACCATACATTAAAAATGTTGTCAAGGTTAGGCTGAATCTCACTGGGTATACTTGAATGGCAATAAATGTTTGTTTGAAGTTATTAACAAATGAGGACAGTCAACATATGTATCCGGCCAAGTGAATGGAACTAAGAACCTGATATAATGGATGAGATACAGGCAAGGGCATTGATGAGAATATCAGTCATGGAAAAAAATATCTAAAGTCAAATAGTAAGAAAAAGAAAAAGGAATAAATGGGTCAAGGAGAGCAGGGGCCACAAAAGAGCCTGCCAGTTTTAGAAGACAAAGAATCATCAGTCTTTTGGACTGAATACAGATGAGCCAACTCCATGGATATGACAAAATCATAGCATTGTCTTGCTGCTGCTGAGGCCCTGAGAGCCACAGGTGGGCCACGGAGTGTCCACTAGGCCAGGGGAATCACTGTGGCCAACCTGTCCTGGGACAGTGGTAGGGTGGGAGTGGGGTGAGGACAAATGGGGGTGCAGTGAGGACCTAAACCTCTGAGTGGTCAGGAAATGGAACCTTTCATAAGAACTGGCTGGAGAAGACTGCTCACCTTTCCCTGCTAGTATATGTGTTCTAAGAGGGGCTGTATGTTACATTCAACCACGGGAAGGCTGGTTTCTACAAGAGTTACTCAACCTCATTTTAGCTGGTATTTTATTACTACCAAGGATTTTTTCAAGGCAATAGATCTGAGATGAAGCTGGAAAGAATGCCAGCTATGGTAATATTTAGAGTTAGAATATTCTGGATATTGGGCCACCTCTTAATTACTGTGAATCCATCTTTATCATAGTAAGAGTTGGATTATATCTATTAAAAAAAGAAAGAAGTAGCTATATACATTTGCAAGTCTTGCTCATCAGTGCAGAAGGCTCATGAAGGCAGGAATAGAGTGTGGGTCAATGGTCAGAGACAGGAGAAAATGGTCAGCAAGAGAACAGAATTTCCCAAGAGAGCCCCCGGAGAACAGCCTTTGGAAGCAGATCATTCTGGCTTCAAACATGTGTTCTGCAGCTTATTGCTTGTGGAATTTTCACTTTCCCTAGCTGTAGAATGAGAGAACTAATACCTAGCTAATATGTTTTGAGGATGAAGTGAAATAAATACAAGTAAAGCACGTAACATATGGTAGTTGACTAAACAAACAGAACCATCCTTATTTCCCTCTGGAAAGCTAAAGCAGGTAGCCACAAGTCAGGAAAGAAATCTGGACAGAAAGGAAATATCCATTCTTCTCTGGGAAGCAAGCTGGGAGTCAGCAGGCAGACCCCTCCACGGTGCATAAGGGCATGAGCTCATGAGAGCTTGAGGTTCATGCTGGTGCTGGTCACATTCTGCCAGGGTCTAGAATTACTTATATGCTGGTCAGGCACTTTCATTAGACTTTGAGCCCTTGGAGGATACCTTGCAACTGGTATCTCTTGTGTCCCATGTCTGGCATACAGTGGTGCTAATTAAGTGTTTGTTGAGCTGAGTTTTCTCCAGCAACAGGGCTCACAACTGGTGTGGCCAAGCCCAAACAGAGCACGGTGTAAAGAGAAGCTGAGGACAGTGCTCTAACCTGAGTGCTTTGGTGATTAGGCAAAGAGGCCTTGTGCCCACCAGGACAGGAGAGTCGAAGCTGTGGGTGGGGTGCAGCCCACACCTGGCTTCGAGGCCAGCAGACCACATGCCCACCACAATCCCACTCCTGGTCCCTCCTACAACCTACTTCAGGCTGTGTTTAGCCTCCCCATCCTTACCCTGCTTCTTTTTGGCTTTCCAAACCTCTGCAGGGGCCAGAGACAAGCGAGGGGAAGAGAGTCCCCTGTGGCTGCAGAGGCTGTCTGAGCTGGTCCAGGGGCTGGAGAGCTGGGCCAGCTGGGGTGGGAGGCGCCTGACAGCTGGGACTCGGGGACTTGGCCGGGCTGGGGGGCTGGAAGGCATCTCAGCAATGAGGGAGCCATAAAAGGTGCTAGTGTCGGGAAGCAGGGGCACACCAGGGCTTCGGGGATCCCAGGAGATCACTGCAGTAAAAACAACAGGAAGAATTATGGTGAGTGCATCCCGCCCCACAACCCTGACTCGAGCCTGGGATCCCTGCTCCACCGCGAGGCCCCCACAGTTAAGTGGTGCAAGCTCACAGGAGCGACGACAGTCTAGGGGGTCCCGGGGGTCTGCTCCCAGCCGGCTGCTGAGGCTGCTGCTACTGCTCAGGTCGCGGGAGCCAGCGGCGCAGCGCCAGGTGTCTGCCAGCCAGGGGGAGTCACTGTGATCCATCCTGGGGCAATGGGGCGGGAGAAACAGGGATATGTGAGAACATAACTTGGCCAAGACCTCCAGCTCAGACATTCAAGAACAGATTGAGTCAGTGATGGTATCACCTTCCTTCTCACCACTTTTCCGCCCTTCACAGACTCCTTAAGATCTCTGACCTGTATCCCAAACTCAGCACCCCTTTCCTATCACGGGATCAGGGCAAGTCCATGTTGCCCCAAACTGAGGCATTAAAGAGAGGTACCTACTTGCTGAGACTAAAAGAACACAGATCTGGAGCCAGACAAGCCCAGTTTGAAAATGCCCATCCACCACAGCCTATCTGTGCAACCCTGAGCAACTGAGTTTAGCCGCTTCTCTAAGCCCCAGGTTTCTCATCCATAAAATGGCAACAGTAAGGCCCTTCATACAGGGCTGATGCCAGGAGCTGAAGTGTGAGACCTCTCAGTGCAGGAGTTTGCTAAGTGGATCTTAGCTCCTCTTCCTCTAGACTGGCTCCCTTTGAACGAGTGCCATGCTGGCTGCCTGACTGATCTTTCAAGAACAGGGTCAGACCAAAACACTTCTCTGCCTAAAACCTTCAGTGGCCCCCCATTTACCAAAATAGAGCCCAAATGTTTCGCCTGGCTGAGAGACTTCCAGCTCTCTAACCTTATCCTTTGCTCTGACCCAATCTCACACCCTATGCCCCAGCCAGCCCTAAGGGCTGGCCTGTTCGTGTGAGCACAGCAGGCTAGTTTGTGCTGCTCCTATCGCCTTTCCCTTCTCACTGGCAGGGTAAGTGTGACTCTTCTTTCTCCCATGTTTCCCCAGCCACCCCAACCTGCTGTATGTATCTCGTACATCTTTCTACACTTCCAACACTGGATCACATTCATGTGCTAGCACGGCTGTCTCTCCCTAGACTGAGAGTTCCTGGCACACAGAGACTAAAGGAATGAATGAACAAAACCATCAGAATGGAATCTCCCTGAAGGACAAGGGAGTCAGAAGAAGTTCAGGGCAGAGCAGACAAAGCCCAGGAGGCAGGTGGAAGAGAAGAGCCAGAGAGGGCAGAATGCAGGAACACTGCACCAGCCAGCTTGGAGCCTGGCTCTGGACTCAGAAACCAACAGCAAGACCGCAGCCCAAGGGCGGAATGTGTCTGGCACATAGTAAGTGCTTGAGGAACTTCAGCTGAAAGATGCAGACCTGGAATGTGAAGCCTCCCAGAGGAAATCTAATATGATTAAGAGCAGGAGAAGGTAGGCAGAGAGAGGGGATGCAATTTAATGTAACACTCAGCTTATAGGAGAAAAAAGGATGTTTTCTTTCTTAGCATCTTGTCTCATAACCACAGCTTGCTCTGGGAGCCAGACCCACTTGGAGCAGATGTACCAGCAAGCCAGCCCTGTTATTGAGAACAATGAGCAACACTCTGTGATGTAGGGGCAGAGCGCCCTCTGCTGGGACTGGGGGTGGATTGTTGTGAAGGAAGGATGGCTCAGTAGGTCTCTGGGACTTTCAGATTGCAAAGGACACTGTGTGTGCAGAGAAAATCAGAAATTATTCCAGTCCTCCCATGCTAGTTGTTCCCCACCTAGCAGAACGAATCAGCAAGAAAATATAGGAAGTGTTAGTGAGAGGTTGGTGACAAGAGCACTGGACTAGGAGTTTAGGAGGCCAGCTACTAGCTGTGTAGCCTGGGGAAAGGTCATGTAAATTTAATCTTGATTTAATTACTTATCAAGTGATGTGATAGGAACACTAATGAAAGAGAAATTAATTTTCAATGGAAGTTCGGGAGAGATTCGGGTACTAGGATCCTGAACCGCCCGGCAGTAGGGTAGACTAGCACAGCACTCCCTCCAAGTCTCTGTCCATGTCCCTTGGCCCTCTGCCCCGGCCCCCACCTGCCGGCCCCTCCCCTTTCCTGTCTCACCTGTGTTTTAGGATGGCGTCCTCACTGGTGTATCTGTACAGACCTGGGAGGGCAGGAAGAAGGCTAAATGCAGTCTCCAGCACCTGGCCAGACATCTAAACGCCTGGAGCTTTCTGACTGGACCCAGGGAGGGTCTGACCACGTGGGAGTGCACCCCATGGTCTCTTCATCCTCTTACCTGGGCCTAGGTGCACCCCAGCTCGGCGCCGGCGGCGGATACACACAGCGGTGCCCACCAGCAGCAGCCAGAACATAACACCTCCGCTGGCAATGATTTCGGGCCGCCTCAAGGCAGTCTTCAGCTGCTCAGCAGTCCATGGACCACGGTCACTGGGTTCTCGGGTGGCTCGCTCCATGGTCTGCTCTGTAAGGGAATCTGAGCTCAGGGGGAGGGGCAGGTGAGGTGGAGTTGCTGGAAGTGTGAGGAGGGAGGAGGGAGGAAGGAAGGTGGGAATGGGGTAGGGACCAGTGGGCACTACCCTCACCTAACAGGAGGCAGACGGGGCTGCTGGGCTGCCCGGCCCCAGCACTAGTGACGGCAGCCACTTGTACGCAGTAGGAACCTGGCATTTGGGTGGCGATCTCCAGCTGGGTTTGTTCACCAGCCACGGTCCAGTTGGTCGGAGGCAAGGAGGTGTTGCCCAGGCTCCAGACCTGAGGCACAGCAGCGGTGAGCACTTGCCCAGCGGATCAGACTCTGGGCATGAGGCCAGCCTGCTCTGCCATTCACCTAAGGACACCCCCCCAACATGCACCCACATTTCCCAGTCCTGTCTCCCCTACAAGTGAGAGAGTCTTCTCTCTAGACTGATAGGAGAGGGGTAAAGTAGTCTGCTAAACTCCCTGTTAGGAGAGAGGATCTCTAACCACAGGCTTCAGGGTCACTTGGAGGGTTTGTAAAAGTCCAGGGCCTGCCCCTGAGTTTCTGATTTGTAAAGCCTGGAGAAGAACCCAGGAATCTGCATTTCTAACAAATTCTCAGGTGATATAGAGGCTGTTAGTCCAGGAATGACACTTGGACGCCACTACCTTAGAAGCTGAGAGTCACACACAGCCTAGTCTGATTCCCATTCTTTTTCCTACACCTGTGACCTTCGCCTCCTGTTTTATGGCTGTAAGTCGGGGCTAATGATGCAGAGCAGACTGTGAGACAAAACGACATCACAGGGAATTGCTTGGCAGTGTTTGGCAGCCACTTGCTCAGCAGTAATAAGTTTCCCCTGTTCCTCTGTAGAGATACTGTTTCTCAGTGCCTGGAACAAGGGTATTCAGGACACCAGGGGAGAGGGGTGCCCTGGTGCTACTGGAAAGCGGTGTGCCAGCTTGTGGGGGTACCTGGTAGCTGCGGATGATGCCATTGTGGTTTTCAGCAGGTGGCGGAACCCAGCTCACAAGGACGCTGCCATTGCCAGGTTTTAGGGTCACTCCCTGGGGAGGGGCGCTGGGCACTGTAGGGAGGGAGTGAGGCTGTGCTCTAAGGGAGCCAAGGAGAAACCTCTAAGGGAAAGGGCTGGGGTGGGGACACAGGTGGGGACACACTAATGAGAAAATAAGAGCTTCCCGCAGCGCCCAGGAAGTTTGCCTGCGCAGAACAGTAGGGAGTCCAGGAGTAGGACCTACCATCCCCCTAGACTGGGGTGGGACAGTCCAGGGACCCCCAGACAAGAAGGGGCCAGAGGGTATACTGTCAGGTCCTGGGGGCACCTGTCCCTGACCTCGTTCGGGCAGCCTCAGGAGTAGCACGTTGCTGTCAGGGCCTTGAGCCCGGCCAGAGGATGGTCTCACTTTGAACTCGTAGTCTTGGCCCCAGTGGAGGCCCCCAAGCTCTGCACTCTGCCAGCCAGCCAGCAGGGCCTCTGCCCACGGAGCTCCCTGCCCTCCTGGGGCAGTCTGGGTCCTGAACAAGGCTGTGTAGGACTGAGCGGGTGCGGCAGGGCCACTGACCTGGCAAAGAGTCCAGAGGAAGGCCAAGGGGTCAGGGAGCCTGTGACCAGCCCTTTCTTGAGCTCTGGACCCACCCCTGCGTCCTGGGCCTCACCTTCCAGCTGAGCCATACAACAGGTCCAGGCTCGGTGCCCTTTGTGGCTTCTGGGTTCAGCAAGGTCACGTTTTCCAGCTGAATGTGCACAGCCAGAAGCTCCTTGTGGTCCTGGGGCTCTGTGGGGAACATAAGGCTCAGCTGGGGCCCACAGGCCAGAGAGATGGAACTGAGGCATAGAACACCCCCCAGACTTGGAGAAAGCAAAACCCCCAGATTTCCCAGGTCCAGAGCTCTCCTCGACTCTAGGATGGGGGAGCCTCCCACTAAATGGGATCCCCGTCACTCTGACCCTGATGCAGGTTGAGCCCCACACGTATTAACTGCAGACAAAGCAGACCACGCCCCATGGCTGCGGCCCCCGCCCTCGCCCTGAATTCGCTGGCCGCCTCCCTTTACCCTGGACAGACACCCTTGCTGCCCGGCTCTCTCGTCGTCCTGCGCTGTTGGTGGCCACACACAGGTACGTCCCTGCGTCGCTCTTCTCTGCTCTTGCCAGCATCAGGGAGCCCCTGGACACCTGTGAGGGCCAGGTGGATTGTGGAGCTTCCCGTGTGGGGAGGCTCGAGGCCTTGCTGCCTCCCCTTCCTCAAATTCTGCAGGGAATGTGGGGCTGGAGGGCAGGTCAGTCCCTCAGGTCATGCCCAGTACCCAGGACAGGCTGAAATATGGGGAAGGGGGCTATACTCACCGTGTGCCGCCCTGGCTGAGGGACCAGGGGTTTCCCATCCTTCCACCATGAGACCGTGGGCTCTGGCTGGCCCCTGGGGGGCCCGCACTTCAGAATCACCTGCTCGCCCACGGTGGCCACTGTGTCCCGAGGCTGAATCTGGAAATCCTCCCAAAGGACTGTGGGGAAGATGTGGGGGTGTCAGTGGGGAGCACACCTACCCCTCCTCTCCCGGGGGCCCTGCTTTAGCATCCCCTTCCACACCTCATTCTGCTTTACCTGCCTTTTCACTGCCTCTGCTCACTCTTCAGAGCCGCACCTCCCATCCCAGGCCTCTCCACTGACCTTCCCTCATGCCTCCCTCACCTTGGCCATCACACCCCAGGTGAGCCCCCCGCCCAGTCCTCCCCTCCCAGGCCTCACCAGCCACAGACAGCAGAGCACCTCGGCTGACTGCCGTGCCCAGCCGGTTGCTGGCCTCACACGTGTAGACACCCAGGTCTGTGGATAGGACCTGGTCATTGTGGGCATGTCCCTGGGCAGGGGGCCGCAGCAGCAGGAGGGTTCCATCAGGGAGGAGGTGGTGGATGTCTGGAGGCACCATACTGAGGGGCTGCCCATTCAGCAGCCAGCGGATGGTGGGAGGTGGCTGGCCTGAGGCCTGGCAGCTCATCCTGGCAGGGCCAGGGCCCTGGAACAGCTGGTCCTGGGGGTGGACTAGGATCCGGGGTGGGGAGTCCTGAGCCATGCCTCCTGGGAGAGTAAGAGAGGTGGAGCCCAGTGTGACTACCAACAGGCCCCCATATCCCCGCCTACCTCATTTGCCTTCTCTTGTCTGAAGATCGATGCCCAGTAACAAGCTGGCTGGGAGGGGACAGGACCAGCACGCACAGCATCCCAGTGAGGGCCTGCAGAGCTTTCAATCTGTTTGTCTCACACACACACACCATCACCACCACTACCACCACCATCACCATCACCGTTATCATCATCTCTGCTACCTACTTCACAAGGGAAGCCAGGAGCGAGGGGCTTCTCCCCTGGACCAGGGAGCAGGGGCTAGGAGAGGGCGGCGCCACACTCACCGGAGATGAACAGAAGCAGGACGGGCAGGGGCCCCCAGGCCCCCAGGAGGCCCGCTCTTCCAGAGCCCATGGCTGCTCTCAGGCCTCTGTCCTTGTCCCAGGCACTTTGTCCCACTGCTCTGAGCTCACAGGGAGGGAAGGAGGGGCGGGGCGGTGGGGGGGGTTGGTTGTTTTCTGCCCCAGGAGGGAAGCAGCTTTGAGGAAACCGATGCTTCCTGCCTGGCCCTCAGTGCCTTGGAGAACTGGGAGGGGACCTGAGGAGAGAAATTCTCTGACCTTGACCCTTAAGCCATAATCCCTGACTCCCACCCCAGCCCTAAGGTTTACCTTGTGATCCAGTCTGGGATTTCTTAAAGGTGATCCTCATGCTAACTGTATCTCTACCCTCAGCCCTGATGCTTGAACCCTCAGCCTCTGTTCAAATCCTGAATCCCAATCCTATCCCTCTGCTTCCAAGTGACTCCCTGGTAGAATGCACTGGAAACCCAGAGGTGGAATCCCAGGGCACAGACTGAGAAGCTGAGGAGAGAGGAAAGCAGGCCCCGGGGGCTCAGTGGACAGGAGCATTCCTTAGTTCATTTCCCCAGGGATGGATGAGGCTCTGGACAGAAGACAGGAAGGATTCAGAGGCACTGATATAAGCTGGCTGATGCCCACCGTGGGCTCCTATTCAGCTCAGGGACACATGAAATAATTTCTGGGCAAGTCACTTAACCCCTGCAAGTCAGTTGCCTTGGCTAGAGTGGGAATAAAACTGATATTGCCTACTTTGAGGGCTGAAGTAAGAATGAGATGAGGTAGAGCATAAAGTCACTCAGTAGAGTGTCTACTGCATTCAAAGTGATCGGCGGGGGTTAGCCGATGTCGTGACCTGTTTATTTTTATGCATACCCTTCACTGGAAGTATTCAAGCACCCTTGGCAGAGATATTTCTCAGGCCCTAGAAATATGGTTGGAGTAAATGATTTTCAGACTCTTTCCTGCCCTAGAACCTGGTGTCTGCAGCAGACAGGCCTTTCAGCTTCTGAGCCTGCAGTGTCAGTTCCACCCCCTCCCTTAGAGAGAGAGACAGACTGCTCTCCTGCTCCGAGCCCAGCTCCTGTTTACAGGTCTCTTCCTTCCAAATCTGGAATCTCAGCCATTTCCTGGAGCTACCCCTGGAAGGCCAAGGCCCAGCTCTGGGGGCTCAGCGGAAGGGTGTCCAGCCTTTGTTCCCAGCTCTTCCCAGCCAGCTCCTCTGTGCGGCCCCTAACCCAGCTGACTCTCCCCCTGCTTCCCCCTCCGCAGCCTGGCCTCAATGCCAGCCACAGGCCCAGCCCTGCAGCCGAGCCAGAGGAAGGCCTCCTTCCCTCCCCCTTCTCTTAGTCTCAAACACAGACCGGAACTGATGAGGACAACAGAGCAGCAAAGCACGATGGTCCCTAGAGACTGGGCCTTCCAGGGGGCAAGCAGACAGAGTGGAAGTAACCATGATGGAGCTGGAAGGATAGGACGTGGGGTCAAGAGCAGAGTTTGGTATTTCAGAAGTGGAGGAGCTAAAGGTCAGTGACAAAGTCCATGGCATGCACGTGGACGTATGTGTGCCAGGCAGAGTAGAGTTTATAGGGACACAGATCCATGCAGCCAGAGTTAGGAAGGGGCATGCATAGGGACGGGAAGGCAAGAAAGGCTGTGTTGGGAAAGATGGATTTCCTGCCCATACAGCCAACTTCGGATTTCCCAGGTGCTGAGCCCCAAAACCTGTGCGACCCCATGACTGCCTACTCACCAAGAATGTGGCAGTCAGTTCCCTTCTTCGGCCTCTTTTGCTTGTACATTGGACTTGGGGAGACTAATCAAGTTCTCTGCTAATGATTTCTTGCCAACTTGATTGTAAATCTCTCTACAGCCAGAAAGACGGTATGTTTCCCTCAGAAGGACAGAAAGGGCACCTCAAAGGGATTCAGATTCAGGACTAGCCCTGTCCTTAGCTGCATGAGAATGGGCAGGGGACACAGTAAGGCTAGGTGGCGAGGCCGTGCTTCAGGAACAGAACCCCAGAGCAGCCTGGGAATGGCCCCTGCCCCGTAGTCACATGCCTCATCCCTGGAGATTGCCTGCAGCCTCTCTCCATCCATGAACTCTGAAGAGCCTAGTGCTAAGAACTGGTAGGGATTGGATGGGGCAATTGCTCTGTGCAGTTCCTGTAGGACGTTAAGACTGTCCTCACTCAGCCCAGGTATCCAGGACACTCAGGGACTCAGACAGTGATGGCCAAGGGGACTTCCCAATGGTGAGGTATGTCTGGATGGCTCCCAGAGACCACAGTGTTCATTTCCAGCAACCTGGCCCATCAGCATCCTGATTATCTCATTCCCACACACACAGGAAGGACTGACTGCGCGAGTCATGGGATGGTGTTAGTCAATGGGAACCACTTCCACCTATTTCAAGGAAGCTTCGCACTGGGACCCTGGTGATATGCATTGTCCAGTGACCAGTTTAGACAGTATCTTCCTTCACCCCCTTATTTTAGAGTTTTGTATTTTTGTGAGTCTTTAGTTGCTTATAAGAGGGATGAGAGAGGAGAGGGGAGTAGGGTCCTCTGGAGGAAACTTTTTTTTCCACCTCTGGCTCCTGGCTTCTCTGGCTTGTCATTCTGTGTTTTCTGCAGATGCAGCCAGACACCTCTGCTGGCCAAGCTGGTGGGGTAAAAGGTATGAATTCAGGTGGGATTTGAAGTTATATGAACATTGAGATCCTGGTTCCACCTCCGACTGGCAGAGACCTTGAATAAATCACATGAGCTCTCTGAACTCCACTTTCCTTGTCTGTAAAACATCTGTATGAGGTTTCTGGGAAGTGGTAATGCAACTGCGTTGAAAACACTAGATATTTGTTAATTATCCTTTGAGTGTTCTAACCAGCAACAACACAGCCATCCCCAACCACCCATAGGCACTCTTTTTGGCCTTGAGATCTTGCCTTTTTTGTCTTGTTTTGTGTTTTGTTTTGTTTCCCCACTTTGCTTGACTCTGTTCTGACTCTAAATTCTTATCTTCATTCCAAGATGCCAACAGCTGCAGGGAAATTGAGTCAAGAGAGAGGAAAGTAATGGTCTCCTCTCTGCTTACTGGAAAAATGGCCTTGATGCCAATTCACCAGCATGGATTCCAATCCCTAGTTTCTGGTCCTATGAACTTCATGGGTAATTTCAAGATCCACGGGGAAATCCTGTTTTGTACTCTCAACCCCACAGTTTCTAGACTTTCTCAATACCAGTGACTATCTGTGGGTCACACTGAGGCCAAACATTGCAGATTGGACCAATAGGGAATTTCAAAGGCTGCTGGCATCAGCATTTAACTGCTCACAGATCCAAGGAGATCAGTTCCTGTACTTTGTGTTCAGCCTGTCAATGTCCTCCAGCCAAAGACCACCAGTGTGATATAATGATTTATAAGAAATATATGTTTGGTCATTCAGATGACTAAATATATATTTCTCAGATATATTTGGTCTTCATCCACAGCTCCTGAAAATGCTTCAGAGCCATGAAGGTGAAACACGTTTTGCTATGTTATGTTGATGCCCTTTCATTGTCAACTCATCTTCGGTTGATCTTAATCTCTGAAAATTTTAGGAGATGCTTTTCTCCAGTGAGGAGTTGCATTTTATTTTAGAAGCCTGGGATGCTACCAACTTGGGACCCCTACCTTCCAGGATACCAACTTACTCCAGGAGTCTCAGGTCCAGTTCCCCAACCTTGCCACTGGCACAAGTCTAAGTGTCCATTACAGGGCAAATTTGCCACTGAGTAATCCACGTTTTATGAGTCCTGAGTGGTCTAGACTCACCTTACACTTCCAAGCTTTTATACATGCTGCTCTTTCTGCCTGGAATATGTTGCCTTTCATCTTTTATTTCCCCCCTCACCTGATTAACTAACTAATCTTTCTAGGACTAAATTCAGGCCTTTTTTAGACACCTTTGCTGGCAACCCCGACTCTGAATTAGATGACCTTCTACATGCTCCCAGAACACAAAGTACTACCTCCGTCATTGCATTTTTCACACTGTATTGTAATAATCTGCTTATTGTTACTTATCTGTGAAACAGTCTTCTGGGTAGGGATCATGGCATAATTATGCTGTTTCCCCAGTGTCTACCACAGTGCCTGGTCTGTGGGAAATTAACAAATGTTTGTTGAATAAATGAAAGAATACCAGAATGAATGAATGGGTGAGTGAGTGATGATTTTGGAGTAGACCACTGGGGGTTTGCAAAGAGGTTGAAGGATTGAAGGATAGTGAAGGAAGCTGAGGAGGAAAAAGAAAAGGGAAATGGCTGGTATTTTTAAGCTGTTCGTTCTTGCCGCTTAAGTGGAATAAATTGTCATTTCATCAAAAGTTTATTGAGCATCCAGTATGTGCTAGGCACTTTGCTAGATGCTAGTAATACAAAGATGAAGACCAACCCAAACAAAACAAAAGCAAAACCATTTCCTTATTTACCCCCTCCCCTTACCCCTCTCCCCAGTTTAAGGCAGATTTGGCTTGAGCCCAGGAAGCCAGCCCCTTGGGGATTTCTCACCAGGGGGGTATGCAGCATGCTCCCATCTTACGCTACCTTCACCCTGCCTCTCAGGGTTGACCAGCTTGTACCCCTTCCCAAGTCCTGCATCTCCCTCTTGCCTGAGCAGCTTTGCCCTCTGTGCATTATTGCACTCTGTATGAGGCACTGGGAGAGTGAGGGGAGCAGTTCTGGCAAACTAAGGGAAGCTGCTAAGTCACACTGGCTCAAGTGAGCCTGGAGGGGTGCAGAGGGCAGGGAGCTGCGAGGGGCGAGCTGTCCAGGTAAGGGCGGAGGGGCCAAATAGGAATGTTGTTGCCCTTCAGGCTTGGACAAAACTGGCCCCATGTGGAGTGGTGGGGAACAGGGCCCTTGGGAGTTGCTCTGTGGGATGGTGGAGAGTCAGAGCTGGAGCTTAGGGGGCTGGGGAGGGGCCAGGGAGGCAAGACTCCTGGAGGCATCACGGAAGAGAGATCAGAACACACAGAGGGCCTCCTTTTCCTTGAGTCTTTTAACTGTCCTCTCTCCTCACACAGATTATCGTCTCTCCTACTGACTGTGCAAGATGCGGTGGCACAAGCGTGACCTGGCTCCCCAGTGGCCCAGCCTCTGTATTCTGTTTGTGTGGCGAGGGAATCTGTCCTGTGCCACCTCCTGGGATCTGAGCATCTGGGAGCAGGGCAGGTGGGAGGCCAGAGGCCAAGGGCTGGATCACGTCTCCCTGACATGCGGAAGAGCACAAGGCTCCCCGCCCCACCCTGTTTTCTCTGGCAAGTGGAACCTTATTCTCTTACAGCTGGAGGAAGCCCAACCACCTTTCCCGGGGATAATGATTGTTTGAAAGGCTTGTTTTGTAAGGAAGCCAGGGAGAAGGCATAGGTGTGAGGAGTTCAAGAACAGGTCTTCGCTAGCTTTCTGGGCCAGGACAGTGAGTGGGCATCCCCTCTCTAGAGGAAGAGACGGGAAGAATGCTTGGCATGCCACTGAGGGAAGCTTTGGGAGGAAGCCAGACAAGGGAGGCTGGAATCCTTCAGCCTTGCTAGGGCCAGGTCAGGGGCCAAGGAATGTACTTGAGCCCGTCCCCCACCAGCTGGCAGGGGACCCAGAGAAGGGTGCTTCACGATTCGCTGATGCTCAGAACAGCCCCCTGTACACCCAGTAACCGGCATCTGACCTCCCTGCAGTCCAGAGCAGTTGTGCGTTTAGAGCAAGTGGCTTCTCTAATCTGGCCTAGCTAGACCAGTGCCCCAGGAAGCACGCGTTCGTTGGGAGGGAAGGGACGTGGGTGAAAAGCAGGGCACTTCTGGGAAGGGCACAGGACAGTCGTGGGGGTTAGGTTACTGATGTTAGTTTCCATAAGACCCTAGGGAGACTGGGCCGGAAATTTAATATCTATACTGTCCTAAGAGGGCACACCCCACACCCACTCAGAACACAGCCAGGGAACCGGCAGCAAGCGCCACCCAGCGTCACCGCCAGACCCACTCTCCGCCTCCCCGCTGCGCCCCCCCATCTGCGCCTGCTCACCACGCGGCACACTGCGCCCCCGTTGGCCCCGGCGGCCGGAGCCCCGCTTCCCGCCCTCCCCGGTCCGCTGGCCGCCGCGCGCGGGGTCCTCGGGGGCCCCGAGACGGCTCACGCGCTGATCTCCACCGGGCCGGCCTCGTCTTGCTCGCGGATCAGGGGCACGCCCGCAGTCCGCAGTGTGCGTGAGGCGCTGCGCGAGCGGCCCGGGGAGCTCGGGGCCCGGGGCGGCGACGTGTGCGTCCGGCCGGTGGCGGGGGAGCGCGCCGGGGAGCGCGGGTAGCGGCGGGCAGAGCGGATGGGCAGCCCCGGCGAGCGGCCGGGCACTGCTGGCGACGCGGAGTAGCCGGGCGGGCCGGGCTCTGACGCGCTCCGAGGCTCCGGGGCAGGGTTCTCCTCGGGCTCCGGGGAGTCCTGCAAGGACACGGGGGTCAGCGGACAGCCGGCCCAGTCTGGGAGCCCGCCTGGTGTTGGAGGGTGCTGGGAATACCGAGGGGAAGGAGACGGTCCCTCCACACTCCCACCTCCTGGAAGGCCGCGGACATAGGTCTAATTTTTCTTGGAATACCCGACAGTTGGCATGGTGCCTGGCAAACAGTAGGCGCTCAGTAAATGTTGAAATGCATTAAAATGAGTGATTTGTCCCCTTACTCTTCTCTTTCCACCTGTCTTGGACAGTCTGGGACAGAGTTAGTTGTGGAACAGTGGGGAAATCACCAGGGTTGATGCCCAAAGACTTGGATTTGAAGCCAAAGTCTGCCACTTATATTACTTGTTGATCCTGGGCAAGTCATTTCACCTCTGTCAGACCTATTTTTCTAATCTCTGGAGTGCAGATGACGCAAGTATTTCTCAGGGTTATTCTGAGTATCATGAAGGGCTATCTATCCATGTGGTATGGCTACCCAGCACTAGCACGTGGTAGGGGGTCACCGGGTGTCTGTGGGGCTTGCAGCCCAGAGCTGCTCACCTTGTCCTTCAGGATATAGAGCGCCATGGGGTTCTTCCGCTCATGCTCTCCACCTCGTGGGAGGGTATCTGCTGCACAGGGCAAAGAATGGGAGGGCTGGCCCACGTACGGAACCCTTGCCGCCAGCCAGCACTACCTACACTCTGTTCCCCAGGTGGCCGGTCAGCCCCACCAGAAACTCCACCAAGGGACCCGGATTGCCTGCGGTCCTACCTTGGCCGCTCCTCTCCCTGCTCTGCAGTCTTCGTGCAATTGGTGGAGGAAGGGGCCCTGCAGAGCTGGCTTCTTTGTCGTCCAGTTCTGCCCTTTCCCAGCAGCCCACTGATCTGAATGATGACGGGACGGGTGAGTGGGGGGCTGGGGGCTCACCTTCTACTTTCAGGCGGTCATCATGCTGATCCATATATTCCAGGGAGTTTTGCTTCTCTAGCTTTCTCTTCTTCCTGCAGATGAACCCAGCATCTCGTGAACAGAGCTGTTGAGTATGAACAGGAGAAGAACTGGGGTGGGGGACACATGGGGGATCTGATGGTGGCAAGAGAGGCTTTGTAATAGGAAGGTGGGCCGGATGCTGTGGGAGTGGGAGCAGTCCATAAGCTTTGGAATGCATCACATCCAGGTTTGCATCCCAAGTCTGTCGCTAGCACTGTGACTGTAGGCAAGTCCTTTAACCAATCAGAGTGTCAGTATCATTATAACTGCCGATAATCATACTTAACAGGTAGTACACTAACCACAACCACAGTGCCTGGTGCACAAAAGGTGCCCTGCCAGTGAAACCAGTATGATAGTTTTGGGTTGTGGGGGGCCATGTGCACAGGATGTGGTTCCATGCACAACACACACAATGGTAAGATGGATCCTCTGAGAAGAGGGGCAAGACCCTAGGACAAGGGGCATTTAAAAAAACTAGGAAAAGAAAAGAGATTGGGATTGGGATAGGTGGGAGGATTAGGGTGCTCAGGGTCTGGAGCTTGGAGAGTTACCCAGACTTTTTGGAGGGTTTCCAGCAGGCACAGACTGTCACCAAGGTCACAAGAAGGAAGATGCCCCCTGTGGACAAGATGATGTAGAGGGAACTTCTTCCTAGGAGGCGAGGCAGAGAGGGGGGAGAGACTTCAGAAGGGTTGGCAGGGGCAGGAGGAGAGAAGAGGAGCCCAGCAGCAATGCTGGCCAGTGGCGGAGTTCGCGCACAGCCCACCTCCCACCCGCAGCCGTCCTCCTTGGAGTGGCCCATCTCTGCCTCTCTGTCTCTCCAGTGGCACTGTTTCTGGGAAGTCCTTAGTCCCTGATGGCATGGCCCCTGCCTCTCAGGGCCTGGAGTCCTAAGGGAGGGCAGGCAGGGAGACTCACTGTATACGGTGATCTTGACCGGCAGGCTGCGGCCCTGGCTGATGGGGTTCTCCACCACACAGCTGTACAGGTCATCATCCTCCATGAGCACGCGGGTGATGGTGAGCACCTTTTGGTCAGGGGACAGGAGCATTCGCGAGTCATTGAGGAGGGGCTTGCCGTCCTTCAGCCAGGTGTAGCTGGGCTTGGTGCCATTCTCGTGCGAGCAGTTCAAGGTGAAGGCCTCGCTGAGCTCCAGCACGGTGGTCGAAGCCACTAACACCTGCGGCTTCGAAATGGGCACTGAGCCCCAGGGGTAGGGGAGCCTGTGAGCCATGCGCCAAAGAGCTTCTCCCTTCCCCTTGTTAACACCCTGGCTTCCAATACATCACAGCTCAATTTGTGGGCTGGGAAGGCCCTTCATGAGTCATCATTCCAATCCTTTCCCAGCATCCCTCCATCCATTCATTCATTCACTTATTTATTTACTATTTGTTAGGCACCTACTAAGCACAGGGGCTAAAGTGCTGAACAGGACAGTCATGGCCCCTGCCCTTGTGGACCTTCCCTCCCTTTCTTCCCAAATACCTTTCCAGGCTGCCTTAAACTGACCTTGCCCAGAACATATTTCAGTTGGCAAAGTCTAGGTCCGACTGTCTGGGTTCAAATATTGGGTCTGTCATTTACTAGCTGCATGACCTTGGCCAAGTTACTCAACCTTTTTGTGCCTCAGTTTCCTCATCTGCCAAATGGAAATAATGAAATTAACTGCTCCTAGATTATTATAAGCACTGAATGAGTCAGTTGTGCAAAGCACTGGGAATAGTGAGCATTCTAAACGTGTTAGCCATGGCCTGTGTGCCAGCTCCTACTGCCCAGTCGGTGCACGCTCAGGTCCCAGGGTCTAGCTAGTGTACCAGGCAGGCCCTGCCCTGGGCCCAGTCACCAGTCCCGCCTCCTTCCCTGACAGAGCCCTTTACCATCCACAGTGAGGTTGATGGTCTTCTCGCCGGTGAAGGTGTCATCAGTGATGGAGATCTCGACCTCATAGGTGCCCTCGTCTGCCAGCTGCAGGTCGCTGAGAAGCAGGGAGCCGTTTTCAAAGAGGCGGATGCGGTCTCGGTAGTCAGGCCGCAGGGTGCCGATGACCTCCGTGCCGATGGACTGCACTACGGTCACTGGCTTGTCCCGCTTCAGCTGCCACTTCACCACAGGCTTGTCGGTGCTGCTACTGCTGTACCGCACGGAGAGCAGGGCTGACTTCCCCACCGCGCCGTGGATCAGGCGCACCGGGCTGGTGACGTTCACCCCCTCCAGGGGCTCTGTGGACAGAGGCCGAGGAGTGGGCAGCATCAGGCTGTGGCTCCTTGCATGCCCACCTTCAGGTCGTCTGATCTCGGGCGTCCCCCTCCTGGGCCCTTCACTCCCTGCCAGCCCCCCTTCTGGCCCTCTGGCGCCATCCCTGCTCCCACTGCAGCTCCCGCCTCTTGAGGACGATTCCATTAACCCACACCCCGGGTGCCCCATTCACAGAAATGTTTGTGGAGCATGTCTCACATGCCAGGCACTGTTCTATGTCCTTGGGGGTATATCAGTTAGTAAAACAGACAGGGTCCCTACTCACTGAAGCTTACAGGTCCTTAGGCCTTAGGGCGAATTTGTCAGGTTTCCTGCCTGGCTGGGGACTGGGTGAGTGGGGGAGGGAGAAAGTGTGGGACTATAGATGCAGAGGGACAGGAATGTGTCACGGGACAGTGCCAATAAAGGGGAGGTTCAGGGACCTGAAGACAACTGGACCCTCACCAGTCATACCGAGAGCCCTCCTGTCCTTGTCCCCAGCTGCACGTAGCATTTTACTAGTCCTGCCCAGAGCAGAGCAGTCCTGCACCTGGGTAGGTGGTTTTGGAAATTCACCCAAACTCCAGCCCAATTTTCATCCCTTATAGAAGAGGGATTTGGGGTGGGTGGGTGGAGCAAGGAATTTGGAACCAGAAGGCCTTGTAAGCTTGGGCTCCACCATTTACTGGCTGTGTGGATTTGGGCAAGTTGTCTTTCTAGGCCTCATTCTTCTCGTTTAGAAAATAAGGATAAAAACAGTAACAGGAGCAACTGCTTTATCAGGTTCACAGTGGGAAAGCACAGTATGCCTGTCAGTTACTGTGTAGCAGAGAGAACGCAAGGCTGGACACCAGAGATCTGGGCCCTAGTGTTGGCGTGGGACCTAGGAGAAGTCACTTAACCGCTGGGGGCTCAGATTCCCCATAGGCGAAATGGGGAGTGACCTAGATGTTCTCATCGATTTGTTCCAGCCCTGTAATTATGGGATTTCACCATCTTCTCTAATGGCTGCCCTATCCAGAGATACATCTCACATTTCAGAGATCTCTTAGGAGCTTTGGGGCCTGAAGAGATGCCATTCAGTGGTGTTACCTGGCCTTTTAAAGCAATACCACCTGAGAAGGGGTCTTCGGGAGAGGATGTCGGTTGGGCTGAATTTAGCTGAGTAGACACATGCAAGTCAGGGTCTTGGCCCTTTTGCACCCCAGCCTAAATGTCAAGCTTTAAAGAGTAAGGATGGGGGTGCTACTTTGTCATTGCCTCTGAAGTTTCCTCTTTCTTTCTCACCCCTATTTCCTATTCTGCTACTGCCACAGTTTAGATTTGGGAAAGCTAAGTAGTACCTTTCTATTCCTTATTCCTTTCTTGTGCCTAGAGGACCCAGACCAAACCAGGAGGCAATTAAAAAGTTACTTGTGGAGACCAAAGCAAATTTAATTTAATAAGCCTATTCAGTCCATTTTTGGAACAAGTGCTTTATTAAGTAGTGAGCTCATTGTCTTTGGAAGTAGTCAAGAAAAGGCCAATGGACTATTCTTTTACCTCTCTGTGCCTCAGTTTTCTCCTTTGTATAATAAGGTGGTGGGACTACATGATCTGTAGGGGCCTTCCCAACTCTGACATTATATGATCAATTCATTACCTGACAGGTATGTTAGAATCACAAAACCTTCAGTGTGGAAGAAACCACCACAAGGACAAAAGCTGCCACACAAACGAATATTACATGCTTGTTATTGACACAAGTCTTAATTCAGGGCAAGGAGAATAGACAAATTGAACAATTTTCAAAAACCTGTTTTTTATTAAAGGTATTTTTGTTCCTAAAAGCCTTATATAAAAATGAAAAGAAACAAAATCTAGTTCCTGTCACCCAGTTTGGCAGCAGGGATGGTAGGGACCAGAGTTCTGTCCTCTTCAATAACTTGGGGGTGCTATTAAGTATCCCCATGGATTTCACACTGTGTATCAGACTGAAATCCATTTGACCACATATTGATCCTTACGATTTCTTCCAGCTCTTAGTTTCTGTGAGTATTAGATTTCCTCAGTAGCAACTGCTAGGTCCCAGGCTTGGCTTTGTTTAGAAAAGCAAGCTTTCAAATTTCCCTGAATAGGCAAACAGGCTTTGGGATATATGACTTGAGGTGACCCTAAAAAAATCACTGGGCTTCATTAAAGGTCATGGCAGAGATGGTCAAGTAGTTGGGGAGCACCTATCCCTCTTCCTTGGGTCTCAGTCTGAAATAGTGGGGTGTGCACATGAGCAGTATAGATGCAGAGCCATCCTGGGGTTTAGCACCCCAAGTGCCAAACTTTGAGGGTTCTCATTTCCTCTTTCCAGGGGGCTGCACAGTGACAGTCCCAGCCCAGCGGAAAAGTGGAAGGGATTCCCCTTCCCTTCCAGCTTCTCTGGCCTTCCCTGGAGCTTCCCTGCATCCTCTCTCTCCTGTCCCATTCGAGGTCCTAGTACTCCTTCTGTGATATCTTTCTCCACTCAGATCTGCTCTTTCTGCCAGTTTAAACTTGATCCTTCCAGATGAAAATGTTGGAGAAGCTACAGCATATGGATGGCCCTAGGCCTCGCCCTTCTGTCGCCGGGCGCGTGCCTCGTGCCGGGGAGTCACAGGGATGTATGCATGTGTGCTCAGGAGTGAAAGGAGTGGTCTTTCTCAGAGGCTGACAAAGGGAGCCTTTTGCTGAGCAAACACTGTTTCTCAAAACTCCAGCCAAAATTGGAGCTGGTATTAAGTTCAGGGTTTCACAACTTTCAGGGAACATAGAGAACTGGGACAGGTGCCAAAGCAGGACATAGAGTGAGGAAATGGCTAACTACCGCCATCCACAGTGGAAATAAAAGGGACTAGGACTGCTCAACCCTGAGAAGCCATTAACTTAATCGTCATCCTCCAGTCTCTGAGGCACCATTATGTAGAAAGTCTCTGTTCCCTCCCAGGCTGAACAAAAGGAAAATTAGCTTTACAGCAAGATGTGAAGTGTGACCTATCCACTTAAGCTCGCCTTACTGGGTCGGGTAGGCGGCCCCTCCTCAAGTAGGGTTTTGACCTCCTGTGGTACCAAGAAATGTCAAGCTTTAAAGAGTAAGGATGTACCTGCCAATAGCCTTGGGGTCCCTTAATAGCCTCTTCCTTTAAAGAAACCATCATCTACTCATTTTTATGTGCTCCTTTATGCTTGGCAGAGTTCTCCTTGTACCAGCATTTGCCCTAAGTTTTCCTTTTAAAAGTTCAGTGAGATGGTGCCAAACGTATATTCTCAGATTTGGGCTATCTACACCTAATTCATACTCTCGGACAACATGGGCTGCCATTAGAACCCTTATATTTGCAGGGCTTTTTGTTTTGTTTGGATCTCTTTCCACAAGGAAATCCCTTGCTCCCTTTGGCCATCACAGACACCCTTCTATCGGCTTTCTACAACTCTATTTTTTCTTTGTTTGAGGTGTGGTGGCCAGAACTTCATACAATAATTTAAAGGCAACCCTACAGCATAGTTTTCTAAATGGAGAAAATACTGCCTTCTGCTTTTGGTTTTTGATATCCTTCCTAATGAATGATGCTCAGAGAAAACAACGTTTTCCTCTGTTCCTCTTGTATGGGTGCATCACGGGATACACATGCCGAGCCGTTGTGTTGTACTCTTATGTTGGTAGCCTGGTGAGGCCTGTAAGGTGTGGGTGAAATCATTTTAACTGTCAATCATTTAGGCAAATCATTAGTAGAAAACCAGGAAACAGAAAATTATAAAGAAGACTCTTGGGATTCAGGAAGAGAGGGGTCTTGGTGGCTTTTAAATGATATTCTAAAGAGTGTAGATGTTCAGAAATGTATACCTAGCTAATAGCATTACAATGGCTTACAGAGATTTTCCAGGTTTTGGATTGGAACAGTCACTGTTGTTATGCTGTCAGTTCTCTCAAACTGACTTATCAGTTTAATACAAAACCCCAAGAGGTTATTCAGTGATATGGGCACAAGGATAGACAAATAGATCAATGGAACAAAATAAGAGATCCAAAAATATACTCACATATGAGCTCTCAACTTCTGACAAGAGTGATACTGCTGTGCAGTGGGGAAAGGATTTTTTTTCCCCAAGTGAATATTGATGGGCCACGTAGGAAAAAAAATTAATTTTAACCCATACCTCATTTCTTACAACAATACCAAATCTAGATGGATTGTAGATCTCAATGTGAATGGTAAAACAATAATATTAAAAACAAATAGGAAAATATTTCCGTGACTTGAGGGCGGACACAGATTTCTTGAGACATGAAAGTGATACCCATACAAGAAGGAAATGATGTATTAGACCCAGTAAAATTAAGAACCTGTGTTCATCCAAAGACACTGGTAAGCAAGTGAAAAGGCAAGCCATAGAGCAGGAGATATTTGCATTACAAGTATCCTGTAAAGGACTCATATCTAAAATATATTTTTAAAACTCCTATAAATTAATAACTTTTTAAAAATCCAGAAAACTCAATAGAAAGTCAGCAAAAGACTTGGGCCACATACTTCACAAAAAAGCACAACTGAATGGATGATAAAGATGTGAAAAAGATACAACTTCACCGATAATTACAGAGACACAATTTTAATCCATGATTTGATACTACGTTATACTAGAATGGCTAGAATGACAAAGAAGATAAAACTGTTGGTGAAGATGTGGAGCCTCTGAACTCTCAAACGCTGATGGTGGCGGAACTTGGATTGACACAACCACTGCTAAACAACATCTAAAGGTAAATGCACACATGCTACCCAATTCCACTCCTAAGTATATCCCCAAAGAAATGTGTACACCAGAAGACATGTGCTAGAATGTTTTAGCAACTCTACTCATAAAGCCCCAAACTGGAAATGACCAAAGTGTCTATCAAAGTTGAATAGATAAATAAACTGTGGTATATTCATACAGGAGAATACTGGATAGCACTGAGAACAAACGAACTACAATTTCCACAACAACAAGGGTGAATCTGACATATTCGGTGTTCAGCAAAAGAAACCAGGCACCAAAGAATGCATACATATGATTCCATTTATATAAAGTTCAAAAATATGCAAAATTGATCTGGATTGGAGTTAGAATACCACTGTAGCCCTGAGGGTGGGGGGGCAATAATAACTGGAATACTGTGGGGTGTTGTGAGGTGTTGAAATGTTCTATTTCTTGATCTTGGGGACTGATTATAAGGGTTTGTTCACTTTTTAAATGTTCATTAAACTGTATCCTTATGCTAAATGCATTTTCCTGTATATGATTTTCAATTGCAATTAAAGGGAAAAAAAAGATAGCACCTATAAGGCGGAGGTAATCTTAGGGCTGAAAGGGTAAAACCCAGGTAAGGGGCTTCCTCTGACTGGATTCCTAAAGGAAAGAATAGCTCTAGAATCACAGAGAGAGACTAAAATCTTGCAATCAGATTATCTAGATTTATGGTATGCTGTGTTTGTGTCTGTAAATTAGTGTCCTTGCCTCTAGAAAGGCCCTGTTTGAATGTTCCATGAATCGGGCTGTGACAGATCTAGGAAAGCCTTATTATTCCATATTAGGGACAGAGCCTCAAAGACTGAGTATTACTTGCCTGAGGCTGGCTTGGTGGTTGCTGCCATAGAACAGAGGATTAAGTAAACCTTTAGAAGCCAGGGCCCCATGGTCCAGCTCCCTTCCTAGTTCCAATCTTAAAAACTACATTTTCCAGCCTCCCTTGCAGTGAGGTATGGCCTTATGACTTAGTACCAGCCAATAGAACCAGTGGAAATCATAGTACCCCTTATAGGCTGGGTCAGAAAACCTCTCTCTGTTTTGTTTGTTTTTAATTCTCTACCTGAAATAAACGGGGATAAACCTCAGGGTGACCATTGGAAACACATGTGAAAGTGACAGAGCTCCATCAGTGTGGTCCCTAGAAAACTTCATGGAACAGTCTTTCCTCATTCCAGACCCAGTCTGGAATGGTGTTGTGCCAGGAACTTGTATTTTGGAATTATTTTTCACAGAAGTTGGCATTTTCCTAATATATCGGGGATCGCAGAAATTCCTAATAGAATCTCAGTTCTTTACTGCTCTTGAGTCCACAGCAGTACCCTGATTTGACCTTATTCTTTCCTCTTACCTGTCATAAGTTATAACCAAGATATTGTTAGCACAGTGTATATTTAGAATTTTCTTCTGCTCTGTTTATTGTTACATTTTCCCACACAGAAGATCCTTTGTCACCTTGTGTTTGGCTTTGCCTAGTCACACTGACTGACAAGATCTTTCTATAATTGTTTTCCTTATCATTTGGTGACCTGAAAGAGTTTAGGAACATCTCTGATTTGTACATTTCAATGTACTCATCCTGTACCCAATTCACTGTGTCCATACATTGAGCTTTCACTATTTCCTCAACTGGTTGTAATCTCCTGGTGAGAGTGACTGCTCTCACTAAGGCTAATAGTAACCTCTTAATTACCACATCCAACTGATTCTTCTAGGTGCTTATTGTTCTGGACTTCTTTGATACATTCGATGTGGATTCTCTGGCAACCTCCCAATGCCCCTGACTTTCCTGACACCACAGTCCTCTAGTTTTCCCTCTGTCTCTCTGCCTCTTCCTTCTTGGTCTCCTCAATGGTCTTTTTTCCCTTCTGCCTTCCTCTACAAATCTTGGTGTTACTTAGTGCTCCATTTTCCAGCCCATTTTCTCCTCCTAAAAGGTATTGCCCATCTTCATTGTTTTAAACGTCACCTACAGGCTAAGAGCTTCCAAATACCTCTCTCCGACCTCCCCTACTCTGCCCGCCCAAGCTTCAGGCTGTTTAGCGTTTTCCCAGATGCGCACAGGCATTTCCCCTCAACATGGACAATCCTGATTATCATAGCTCCCACACTGTCCCATTTTCCAGTTATGGTTTCACACAGAAACCCTACCTCTGTCTCTGGATCCTCCCACTTCCTGTCAATCACTCCATCCTGACTTTACTTCCAAAATTTTATTTAAACATGCCTCATTCTCTATCTTTGTTCTAATTCCATCCTGTGTTATTTCCCTCCCAAACTATTCCAGTAGCCTTGTTATGGGTTGAATTCAGTCCCCCAAAATTCACACGGTGAAGTCCTAACCCCTAGCACCTCAGAATGTGACCTTATTTGGCAGTGCGGTCCTTGCAGATATAATAAGCTGAGATGAGGCCACAGTGGAATAGGGTGGGCCCCTAATCCAATATGACTGGTGTCCTTAGAAAAAGGGGAAATTTGGACACAGACGGAAGCGCAAGGAGAAAGTCTTGTGACAACTGAAATAATGCTGCCGGATTCCAAGGAACTACCCGAAGCTAGCAGAGCGCCCTGGTCAGATCCTCCCCTTCTCCTTCAGAGGGAGTGTGGCCTTGCTGACACTTTGATCTTGACCTTTTAGCCTCCAGAACTGTAAGACTATCAATTTCTGTTGTTTAAGCAGTTTGTGGTTCTTCCTACGGCAGCCCTTAGCAACTAGGCCTTTCCTATCTTGTTTTTCTCTAATTTCTCCTCCAGTGCCTCTCGGCAGAGCGAGTATGTGCAGTATCTATGGGGTCCCGCCCAATCCTGGACTAAAGCCTGTTCAAGCTCTGCCTACTCTACCGTTTACAGACTATATTCCAGGGTCTTTAGCAGGGTTTAAAAGTGTCTGGCCTAACTCAGTTCACACTTTCCTCTCCAGCAGTGAATGGCTGGGCTGCTCCTGAACGCACAATGCTATTTCAAGCTGTTGACCTTTGCCCATTTCTCCAACTCTAACACCTGCTCCCACACCTACCTGTTTTTCCCATTCTTTAAAATTTAGTACAGACATTCCCAGGAAGCCTCCCCTGATATTCTCTGATGCTCACCCTGCACCATTAGCACCAGCTTCTGTTGGTGGGGGGGCAGGTGACCTCTCTGATCTTGGGCACCCTCTGCATATCTGACTCGTAGTAGTTTCTGCATTTTCTTAGGGTGTTCTCTGTATCTGTCCCACTGAATTTTGAGTTCCTAGGCTCTCTGGAACAGTGGGGGTTGGGGGTGTGTGTGTGTGCACGCATGTATGCCCATAAACACATATATTTAAAATAAGATATATTCCCCAAGTTGTTGGTAGGGGGCAGTACAGGAGGTAGATGTCCACGGTGTGGAGTGAGTTATGGGCAGGTAGGTGTTACTATCCAAAACCAGGAGGCTCATGATCTTGGAAGCTTTTTTCATCTCACTTGCTGTTTTACAGAGAAGCCAGGGGTGGGTGTTGGGAAGGTACAACACCAAGATTTCCCCTACCCCTCCAAGCCCCACCATAATCCCTTGGAAAGAATGTCGGATTGGCCCATGCCAACAAGACATCCCATAAGAAATGGCTCACTGCCCTCCATCTAATGTACTGAATGCCGTGGGAGCTCCAAAGTCATGCAGCCTTTTAGGGGAGGGGAGTAGGGGCCGGGTGGGAGGCACACGGAATGAGGAAATACATCCAACGCTAATGCCTGAATGCACTGAGATGCTTCCCACAGCAGCGGAGCTCTCCCCCCTCCTCCCGCTCCAAAGGCATTCTGGCCCTCAACTCCCCCCTCCCTCTCTTGAAGGCACCAGGCCCCTTCTCCAGACCCTTTCTTACCCTTCTGGTGTCCTACCTGTCTGCATCAGAAGAAGGTAGACAAAAGGCGTGAGGCTCAGGGCACTGAACACTCTGGACAGAGCTTCCCTTTCTCTCTTCATTTTGGGTGGCGTTCTCCAGTTCTGGTGCAGACAATTAGCATGATTTCTCCACTCTGGGCACGTCCCTTTGTACCACTCGGAGTTTCTCTGCCCGAGCGCAGCCCTGCCAACTTCCCTCTGAATACACAGAGCTCTGTGTGTTGCTGGGCTTGTTCTTTCCTCTCTTTCAGACCTGATATTTTCTAGTTTCCAAGCCCTACATCTCCAGTTCAAAAGGGGGTATCTGCTTAGGAGATAATCTGGGGTCTAAACTGAAGGGTCCCTTTAATTCTTCCCCTGTCTGCACTGAGCCTCACTACCAGGGGAGGTGAGGATTGGGGCTCAGTGGGGGTACTGAGCTGGGACACACACTAAACTGGGCCCTGTGACCCAGTCTATCCTGTCTCCACCTCATGCTCCTTGTTCCTGCGAAGGGGAGTGCATACCAGGGACAGTCCTCCAACAAGCTCTGAGAAGGGAGAGGGGGGAGCTTTTAAAAAGCTGGGATATGAGGCTCCAGAGGATCCTGAGAACAGAAAACCTGTGTTCCGCACCAAAGGAAGAAGATTGGAAAATGACTTGGATTCTATTATATCCAAACCTGTCCTGGTCCTGCTTGGGATTCTCTGTCCTATCTAGAATCACATAAATGCTGGGGACCTCTTTGAGAAGCCACTCTGCTCATTCCCCTGCCTCCAGCCAATTCCCTAGAACATGTCAGAGCAAAGATGAAGGTAGTACCCCAACAGCTAGCATCCTGAGGCTCTGTTACCAGCTTCATGGCCCGGCCAATTTGTCTTGTCTCCAGGCTGTGAGGAGGAGAAACACCCTAGCTCTACCCTGGCCCCCATTACTACGGCCAAACTTTCTCATAAGGGCTGTCAGTGGATGGGTGCGTACAAGGTGTGTGATCTTGGGACAAGCTCACAATCTTGTTAAGCCTCCAATTTCACATCTAAGAACATGGGGGGAAACGGTAGCTTCCTTGTAGGAATTGTTGGGGGGGATTGATGAAGATTTAGAGCACCTAGAAAATTCTTTATTAAAGAGATGGCATCTTAAGCTTAAAAAAAAAGCTGCCTCTTCTTGTTTATTTCGGTAGGGATCTTTATACCTTGGTGAGACCGAAGTTTTCAGCTCCCCTCTTGGTCCTCTCTAACCCTGGTCATAGTTTTGCAAATGCAGGAGTTACTTCTTGAAATAGTCTTCTTACAGGAGAAAGCCCGAGTGCGCCAGGTTTCTAGAGCTGAGGATTTATTGCACAGCCCATCTGAGCCAAAGAATTGGGAAGCGCTGGTTTTGAACTTCATGGAGGAACTTTAAAGTATATCTTGAACTATATAAATGGGACCTTTTTTTCCCCTTTGCATCTCTATTTCTATGACTTTTCTCTAGGCAGCTCAAGGCACCTGTCTGCCTCTGGTAGCGTTAAAGTTTTTCAGCTGGTATCAAGGAAAAAAGTCAGTATGCTACTTCTGACGTCTAAAATAGTATTTTAGAGTCAGTAGCAAGACAAAAGGCTTGAAAGCCAGGCTTTGTAAGGTACAAGATGTATTTTAATTTATTTTATATACCCCTTTGAAGTGTCTTAGAGCAGCTTGTGGACTGGATCACAGAGTACTTCTGTAGTATAGACACATGGCCTCCTCTGCCTGTGATGACTAGGCCTCAAATCTTATTGTCTGAGCGTAAAAGGAGAGTATGATGATCAGGAAATAGCCTGAAGCTTGCCTTTTTTGGCCTGAAGGACGGTGGAAAGAAAAATGTGCTAGAGGAAGACTAAGTGGGATCTAAGTTCTCAAACTCCCTGGCTTCTCCTGCCCTAGTGATGGATCATATGCTCTTTATACCCATGCAGGGTATGCAAATGTCCCAAAGCACCCTTAGGCTCCCTTCAGGGACTCAGAGTAGTTGAGAGGTTAGAGAACTGAGAGGTTCGAAGGCTGAACATGGAGCAAAGGGACCCACTGTGCAGGCGACGGCTGGGGCCACCACCTGCCGTGGTGGGAGTCAGCATGCAGCTCACCAGACCAGGGAGCAGCCTAGACTTGTGCAGAGCCCGATCCCCTGAGAATGTCATGCGGGTCCTCAGACACTGTCCCCTCCTGTTGCCACGAGCTCATCTAAACCCACCACTTACACTCACCGCAGCTCTTTTTAGAGAGGAGCTTTGCTGGGGAAAGAAACTGGAAGAACAGATTGAGCAATTGCCTGAGTGGTCCAAGCAGAGACTAGCCATCTCAGGGAAATGTTAAAACAGTTGGGTCAACCGAGTTTTCCAGGATGGATTCGTGTTTAGTCTTCCTCTGCTGCCCTGGGGGAAGGAGGGTCCTGTGGAAGATGACAGCAGCTGTGAAGACACAAAGGCAAATGGGTTCCTTTGCACACCTGAGTGTAGAACGAGCAGTTTTGCAATCCTGTTTCAGGTCTTTTAAAGACGAGTAGACCTATCAAAGCTTAGGTTGCCTGCTCTGGGCCTTTCTCTCCTAACAGAGAGTTCTTTGGGTGAAGGACTATGTCTCACTGGTCTCTGTGGCCCTACTGCCAACATAGGGTGGGGGTCTCAACAGAGTTGCTGAATAGTGAATGGATGAGAACCTGGGGGGCTTCTCCAGCAGCTGCAGACAGTCAAGGACCACCGTAATGGGGAGCGGGGACAGGGGAGTCGCAGCATTAGCACCAGCTAATGAGGCAGATAACAGACTGGTTTGTGGGCATATGAGGTGGCCCTTTGGGGGCCCCAGGAATCCCTGGGGTTTGCTTTGAGGGGGCCACTGATTCAAAGGCACAGGGTCACAGAGACAGAAGGTGACCCAGTCTCACACATAACCATCTCACCTGTCCCAGCTCACCTTGTTCTATCCTGCCAGGCATTCTTTGGGTTTTTCCCCATGGGTATGACTGCCTCATCTGATTGTCAATGCCACAGACTGTTTTTTTTCTTTTGTAGGGATACCCTGATTATAAATACTATATTTATTTAACTTCAAAAGCATATTTACACTTGTCAGTCTGCCATGTCCCACCTTTGGACCAGAAAATGTGGTTGCTTGTTGCCATCTCTTCATTGGCCTGGGAGATGCTCCAGTCAGGGTCACCAGCTCTTCATTCCTACGGGTCGTCAGAGAGCCCAGTTTTGAGCTCCATATAATGTGGCTGCTCAGTCAACAGTGCAGACAGACTGCTTGACTGATGCCTCTGTGCCCTTGCTTAGCCAAGGCCCAGGCTCATCCTCCTCTGAGCACTGCCACAGATGCATTTTCCAGGGCATTGTTGTCTTCTGAGCAGCGTGGCCCAGTCCTCCTGGCCCTTCTGATGCACACAGCTGCCTCAGGCCATTCCTCATTTGGTGCCCCTCCGGGGCTCTGGGATCCTGGTTCCTCACCCCTGACCACATGGCAGCCCTGGCCTGCTGCCCTCAGGCCTCTGTGTTGAGCACCCAGACAGCAACCCCACAGCTTAGAATGGAGTCCCTGCCCCAACACTCACGCACACATGATTCGTAAATAAACACCAAATTCAATAACTCTACCATTAGATTTAAGAATGTCCCCACCCAGTCAGCTTGTTCCTTTGTCTGCAGCCTCCAGGAAGAATGTGCTGGCCCTGATGACCCTACTGGACAGGTTTGGGCTTTACTAAAACCATAATATCAGTGGTTATTTTTATTTTTAGCACTCTCCCCTCTTTCCCTTCATTCACTCCCTGGTATTAATCAAGTCATATCTGTCTCCTCTGCTAAACTGTAAATAAAATCTTTGGTGGCAGAATGAAAAAAGTTGTCAATAAATGGCACCCAAATCCCTCTTAGGAAAACAATTGCCTGCAGGAATAAAAATATCTACATCTGCCACATGGACTAAAAGGAAAGGCCTTGACCATAAAGAGCCAAGGCACAGAAAGATAAGCCACTGTACTTTAGATATAAATAGGAATTTGTAGAGGGGAAGAGCAGAGAGGAGAGAAATGGAGGAGAGAGGGATAAGAGAGCAAAATGGCAGGGGGGCCAGAGGGGCAGGAGCTGAAGAAAATTGAAGGACAGCTCACATGGTTGCCTCGTAAAACCTTCCTCCTCTGTCTTCTTCAAAACTTTCAGAAAAGGTGCCACATAGAAATGCAGTGTTTGTGCACTTCTAGCTGATAGAACATAGCAAAGATGGTGAGGTAGCCCTCCCTTGATTTGGCTATGTATGTAAGGCTCAGACTCCCCAGACTGGGCAGAGATTGTCCTGCTTGCTTTGGTGACATAAAGTGCTATGTTGTGACAGGGCCATGTGGAAAGGAACTGCTGGTGGCCTCAGGAACCGAGAGCAACCCCTCACCAATAGCTGTCTAGAAAGTGGGGACCACAGTCCTACAATCACAAGAAACTGAATTCTTCCAACAACCGCATGAGCTTGGAAGAGGACCGCAAGCTTCAGAAAGGAATGACAACTGGCTGACACCTTCACTGAAGTCTGGTGTGACCTTGAACAGAAGACCCAGTTAGGCTGTGCCTGCACTCCTCACCCATAGGAACCGTTAGATAACAGGGTTTGTTTGTGTGTGTTTAAGACTGAGTTCATGTCTGGTTCAACATGGTACTCAGGAGGGACACCACATAGCACATAGTGAAATTATCTCTAAAGGGACTCATTCGGCTGCAGCAGGAGTTTGAAGTCAGAGATGATCCTGAGAACTTAGGCCTTCGGAAATTTGCAGAAATATTGACATCCCGTTTGGGTTCCTCCAGAAGCGGACCCTGAGACAAGAAGCTAAATAGTTTATTTGAGAGGTATCCCAGTGAGACCACTTAGTATACTAAGGGAATGAGACAGGGAAAGGAAGGAAGCCAATAAATTGCATATTAAGCAAATGACTGTCATGGGCAGATCGAGTTTAATCCTGCTGGGATATATATCCACAAACTGCCATCAGATATGGGCTGAGGGTGTTTCTGAGGGGTAAGGGTAGCTTAATTCTACAGATTTCTGGCCTTACCCCTCATACAGAGGCATCCCATCCAAACTTTCTTCCCTCCTGTGTTCTGTGTGTGTGTGTGTGTGTGTGTGTGTGTGTGAGAGAGAGAGAGAGAGAGAGAGAGAGAGAGAGAAAGACCTACTCCTAACTGTACTTTCTCTGGTACTTTGAACCTATTTGTTTAATTATCCCAATACCCCTTTTAGGTAGAGATTATAACCCCATTTTGCAAATATGAAAACCTAGACTTTCATGAAGTTAACAACTTCTAAGGTCATAGAGCTACTAAGTGGCAGAACTTGGATTAGAAACCCAGGTCGATCACCAGCCACACTTGGGCTTCTGACCACCTCCTTCCTCATCAGCAAGGAGTCCATGCACTGTACGTAGTGGCCCAGTC